ATCCTGTTCCATAAAGGAAACATAAAGCCTTCCTTGGCTTAACAAGTAATAGTGGAAAAAAGTCAGAATCCATAACAAGAAATCAAGTAAAGGGTGATTTGAATCTTGTGTTATTAAAATATGTTAGAACTCTGGGTTGACCAGGGACTATCAAAATGAAGATAGATCCAGGACAGGGTACCCAAGTGACTTGGGTATTCCTGCCAATTTAGTTGTCTTCCTTTTCCTCCTCTTCCTCCTCCCCTTCCTTCTCTTCCTCCTCTTTCATCTTCATCTCCCCCTCCTCTTACTCCTCTTCATTGTCTTTTGGTTTTTTGAGATAGTTTTTCTGTGTAACAGCCTTGGCTATCCTGGAACTCTGTTGACCAGGTTGGCCTTGAATGCACACAGATCCACCTGCTTCTGCCTCCCATGTGCTGAGATTAAAGGTGTGTACTACTACTGCCTGACTCAATTGAATTGTATTTTCATCTTTGGTATTGTTTTTAAAAATTGTTTGAGAAAATACTAAATCTTGGAGACTGCTTTGAACTTCACACTGATCATTTAATCTTGGGGCCTGTGATTTTGGCAGGCCCTTTTAGACTACAGTTGCCATTTGATGGAAATTTACTCTGAGAATTTGGTATCTAAGAACCATGTGGTCACATCTGCCAGTGGAGTTGTTGGTGACATTTGTCAAGGATGTAACTGTAGCTCTTGCAGCTGCTGTCATTGCAGCCGTGGTTTTTAATCACTGGGTTTGTGGTTAACCGGTCCCTGGGTGCTTCAGTTAGGCAAGCAAATTGGGGACTAGCTGGAAGAGTGGGCATGTGCAGGGGCACAGGTCTCTTGCTGCAGCTCTGGGGACCATATAGTCCATCTATACCTAGTGTGTACCTATGTGCTAGGAGGTCCTGTTGCCCAGGACACAGGGAGAGGAAGTAAGATGTATTATGACTCTTCTGACCAGGGTGTGTGTGTGTGTGTGTGTGTGTGTGTGTGTGTGTGTGTGTAAAACTCATGGCTTGGATTTTGCATGTTTAGAACCTTTGAGGTCTGCCCCTTGCTTCATACTGCCTTCAGACTGGGCGATACAGCCTCCATTTGATTCTCTTTCTGTTTGTAGTTTCATACATGTGCTTTCTGCCTAAAAACATTCTTTCTACTGTGTGTGAATAACTCCTACTCATCTCTTAGGTTCCAAGGTGTGTTTTTTGGAGAGGAGGAGGTCCTTTACTTTTTTAAAGTGTCCATATGTAGCCCAAGTTGACTATACCTTGAAATACTCTTGTCTTAGCCTCTAAATGCTCGGATTACATGTCTGTGCAACCTGCCTGGCTTTCAGGAACCATGCTTAAGTCACCTCCACAGTCGTCTTGGCTTTTCTCCAGCTCTGCCTGGCTGGAGGGTCCCTAGTACCTTGCTCCCTTCTTAGCCCTTTTCCAGTTTTGCCTTTGTGCATTTCTTGGCCAGACTCCTTGAAGAGATGACCTGATGACCTTTTCTGGCATTTAGACGGCTGGGATAGATAAGTCTGCTGTCAGAGGGGGAGTGATGTGCTCCAGGAGGAATGGAGGAAAGCTTTGTAGAGGAAGTGACAGGTGGGTTTTGCCCTCTGGGCAAAGACAGAGTAGCATGCCAGACAAAGGGACAGGAACAAGTGCCTGGAGCACTCCTGGTGACTAGGGAATCTGTAAGGCCTGGAGCGATGGAGGACAAGGTAGAGAATAGCTCTGGAGAATCTCAGCTGCACCACTTTCTGTAACTTCTGTGTCATTGTATACGCACCACATAAAGGAAGCACAGCTCTGTTTGTACCCCAGCATGCTCTACCAATGAGCCTTCAAAGTTATTATTATTGAAAGCAGTTCTGTTAAATGCCTGCAGTAAGCCTGTCTGCCATTCACACGTGTTTTCTGGGCTTGGTTGGCAAACTCTCCACCAGTTTTCTCTGGCACAGTTCACTATGCAAGGCATTCCAAGGACTGCTTCAGCTTGACACCATGGTTTTGGTCCCCTAGGAATAGGGCCAGACTACTCAAAGAAGGGCCGGGGAGACAACTCCCTTGCTGGGATTGAGAGCAGATCAGTTAAACTTCTGCCATTTGCTTTGAAATATACCTTGTCCAGGCAAAGAAGATTTCCATTGGCCATTCATAACTCTTATAGACAACAGCCATGGACCACACCCTTCCCAAAGATGGTAGGTGAGTAGTGGCACTGATCTGAGATTTTCATAAAGAGCCTCCCTCTTAGGTTTCCTGAGACAAGGTCTTGTTAGGTAGTCCTGGATGGCCCAGAACTCATGGTGTGGACCAAGCTGGTCTTGAACTTAGTATGTGTCTCATACCAGTTCTGAATGTGATCTGTCGGCCTCATACCAGCACATTTGACTCTAAAATGATCAGTTGTAGAACTGTGCCATGTGGTCAGGAGCTGGATGGAAGGCCCAGGTCACCTCACAGCCAGGCTCAGGAAAGCTAGACTGAAGTGCATGGCTGCCAAGTGATGGTTTTCCTCTGCCAAATGCAACTTGAAGGTGGCAAAGCTGTGTGACCAAGTTGGCAGATGAGACTTCACAAAACTCTCATTCACATACTGCGTGGTATGTATGCTTCAATGCAGTTGTGTAACTGCTTAATCTGTAATCAAGCACTGTAGTCCAACCAAGGGCTATAAGATGGAGATGCCAGGCCATGCTGAAGAGCAAAGACTCAATGAAGGGAACGGAGGAATGGCCCATGAACGAGAGAGGTCTGAAGCCACAGCAGCCTGGATTTGTATTACTGCCCTCAATAAGCCACCATGCCTCTCTAGGTAGAAGAGACCCTGCAGAGTTGCTGAAGGGATTAAGCAGCCATCCTTCAGGCACACAGGAGGAGGTGTATATTACTAAATAGCACATAGTACTTGCAGTGGTAGTAAAGCATTATGTAAAGTTCCTGTATTCAGATCCTGATGTGCCCAGAGTTGCTTAACCTTCCCGAGTTTTGGAGTTGTCTCCTCATCTCTACAGTATCAAGGAAGGGTCCAAATGTGAGCATATGCATCACCATGTCTGGTTTTCTATTGATAGTAAAAGCCACAAAGGCTGGGTGTGGTAGGTTACACTAGTATACTGATACACAAGCAGCAGGGGATCATGAGTTTGAGCTAGCAGAGGCTCCATAGTCAAAGCCTGTCAAAGGGGAAAAACCAATACAGAAACATTTAAAGAATCAAATCACCAGAAAGTCCATTGACCAGAGCCAAATGATCTTTTGAATATCTTTATATAGTCCGTTTGCCTTCATTTTATTTATATATATATATATATATATATATGCATACACACATACACATACATACATAAACACATACATACATACATACATTCACACACATACATACATATGGGGCTGTGGACCATGTAGTTCAGTAGTAGAGTGTGGTTAAGGATATGTGAGGCTCTGGGCTTTACATGGAGCGTCCAAAACAAAACAATACACACAGGTTCATAGTACACTATTGCTTCCATTCAGTAAAATGTGGACACAAACAGTTAATGTAGGGTGATTTTTTAATAGACACCTAACCCCTGATTGATCTATCCAGAATGTATTAGCCTTGCTGGTCTCTGAAGGGGTTACTGGTTTCTTGGATTTTGTTTTGTTTTGTTTTGTTGGGGCTTTTTTGTTTTGTTTTGAAAATTTATTTTATATATGTGAGCACACTTGTCACCATCTTCAGACACCAGAAGAGGGCATCAGATCTCATTACGGATGGTTGTGAGCCACCATGTGGTTGCTGGGAATTGAACTCAGGGGCTCTGGAAGACCAGTCAGTGCTTCCAACCTCTGAGCCATCTCTGCAGCCCCTGGAGTTAGCAGTTTTTAGACTATTTTATGCAATGCTGTATTAGCAACCTCAGACATAGACTACAGTTACTTATATATTCCCTGGGGCTAATCCTAGGTATATATTACAAGATATCTGTTAGCTGTATCTATATCCAAATCCCATTTGCCAAAAACAACCATAATTTTGTTACATTAAGCCTAAGAACCCAGCAGTAAGTAACTTATGGTCATCTTCATATATCCTTGGAAAAACTGAATTCTGCCTATAATTTTAACCCTCACCATTCTGACCTATCACCATTTGAACTATTTCTATTAACTTTTAAGAATATTAAGGCAGGCATGGTGGCGTATACCTTTAATCCCAGCATTCAGGAGGTAGGGGCAGGGGCAGAGAGAGGGGGCAGAGATGCAGAGCCAGCTCTGTGAATTAGAGGCCAGCCTAGTGTACACAATCATTTCCAGGTCAGCCAGGGCTGCATAGTAAGCACACACACACACACACACACACACACACACACACACACACACGCGTGTGTGTGTGTCTCAACAAAACAATTCCTTATTGAAGTTTTCTTGTTAGGCTGGTGAGATTGCTCTGTGGGTAAAGTGCTTGCTGTCAAGTCCTGTGACCTGAGCTTGCTATCCAGAACTTACATAGTGGAGGGGGCCAGAGTTGGCCTCTGATCTCCACACATGGTCATGGTGTGTGTGCTACTCCCACTTACAAATATAGTAATGTTTTAATTTCCAAAAAAGGTTTTAAAAATTAAAAAGACCAAATAACTCAGCCCTGTATAGTCCAGGATGGTTGCAAAATGCACCTTGAACTGATCCTTCTGCCTCCACTCCCCATGTGCTAGGAGTCCATATGTGACACTGTGCCTGGCTAGTAAGGCTTTAATATTTCTTATATGGGTAGCAGAGACCCCCTCACTTTATTGTCCTTGCCCTCATGTTTTGCTGCATAAGAGTTAAACTGAGGCAGTCCAATCAACTAACTGACTGATAAACTTCTGAACTTTCATATTTAGAAAGATTCCAGCTCTAGGATAATAAAGATATTTTCCTTCTAGTACTGTCATTATCATATGTAAATACAAATATAAAATATATACTGGAATTTAGATTTAATAAGGGAGACGGGATCCCAGCTTGTATGCTCTTGTCAGTATTACCTTTTTTTCCAGTTTATTTTTAAAGGTTTATTTCTTTGTGTGTGTGTGTCACATTGTATGCAGGTGCCCATGGAGGCCAGAAGAGGGCTTTGGGTCCTAGAGGCTGGAGTTACCGGTGGTTGTGAGCTGCCAGATGTGGGTGCTCTCGGAACACAAATGGGTCCTCTGCAAGAGAAACAAGCACTCCTCAACACTGAGCCCATCTTCAGCTCTAGTTTATCCCTCCCTCCCTCCCTCCCTCCCTCCCTCCCTCCCTCCCCTCTCTCTCTCACTCTCTCCCTCTGTTTTCTTTCTTTGTTTTCTTTTTTTGGTTTTTTGACACAGGGTTTCTCTGTGTAGCCCTGGCTGTCCTGGAACTCACTCTGTAGAGTACGTAGAGGCCAACTCACCAGGCTGGCCTCTAACTCAGAAATCCACCTGCCTCTGCCTCCCAAGTGCAGGGATTAAAGGCGTGTGCTGCTCGGCAATACATCACTTTCATTGTGCGCTAAAATTTCTTTTTGTGTCTGGCCCACTGATCTGTCTGTTAGGTTCAACAGTTCTGTATGTCCCTTGCTGAAATTGCCCTATTGTTTTAGCTACCCAATATATTTTAATATCTGGTTGAAAAAAATCAGATGATTAATCTTGAGGCTTTTCTTGGCAGTACAGCAGAATGCTCAGGGAGCTTACGCCTGACCTTTGAGAGCTTGAGCTGGATGTTCTCTCTGAATCCATTCTGTTTGTTAGTAACAGTGGCCCTTAAACCCCCCGGTGGTTGGCTTCGGTTTCTTTTTTTTTTTGGGGGGGGGGGGGGTTCTGATGGTGCCTTGGTTAGGTCTTTTTGCTACCAAAGTGATGCATCTATTTTCCCAGTTGAATTTTAAGGGTCATTTTGGCAGCAAAACCACATTGGGGTCTTCTGAGTTTACTTGGCAGGCAAATTTTGGGATATCAATACTAGAGGAGTTTCCTTTGGCAGCAAGCACCAATCTCCCCTGACTTTTATTTTTATATTTTCCTTTTTCTTCCTTCCTTTCTTCTTTTTCTTCCTTCCTTCCTTCCTCTTTCCTTTTTCCTTCTTTTCTCTTTCCTCTCTCTCTCTCTTTCTCTCTCCTCGTCCTCATCCTCCTTGTCCTCCTCTTCCTCCTCTCCTCCCTCCCTCCCTCCCTCTCTCTCTCTCTCTCTGATTAGGTCTCATGTAGCCTAGGCTGGTCTCCAATTTTCTATGTCGGCAGGGTGACCTTGAACTTCTGTTTATCTACTTTTTGACTATAAACTTCTGATCCTCCTCCTTCAATCTCCTGAGTGCAGGAATTGCATACTTGTGCCACCATGTCCAGTTTATTCATCACTGGTGATCAGACCCAGGGCTTCATTTGCACTAGGCAACTACCAACTGAACTACATCCTGGGAAAGCTCATGTCCCCTAAAGAAATTATTAGTACATAAGAGATTGGTTTATTTGGGGTTGGGGTCTCTCTAAAATGCTCAGACTGGCCTTGAACTTAGGGTCTTTTTGAATTTGTGTCCTAAGTAGCTGGGATTATAGGAATGTACCACTTCTGGCTTGGAAATTAATTTTAAATGCTTATTTTGCCGCCAAAATAACTCTAATTAAGTTAGGACATAATTCCTCTCTAGCTGACATTAGCCTGGAGGCATTACTCAACTCCAGCAGCCATGCAGGCTTCTGTAAACTAAATGCTACATCACCTTGCCATCACTTCATGTCCACACACTAGAGGGACCGCACGCTGCAGGTCCCCAGGGTTCAGCAAACAGCTTCCATCCTAGTAGGAAGTTATCAGTGCCAGTAGAAATTGTATTTATGCTATTTCCTGGGATAGAGGAGCCCCTACTAGGAGGGAGGACATGGCAATGAGTAAGCCAAAGTTTCTGGCTTTATCAGGCAGACAGTGTCATTTTCAGCAGACAGTGACGTCATCATCAATGTTAAGAGTAACTGGGTTTTCCCTAATTATATTTTGAATGGAGGTTCTAGATAACAACAAAACACAAGGAAAATTCAGCTAGAAAAAACATTCCAAGAGCCATCATGGGTAACTCCACAACTTAATCTTCCCCATTACAGACCAGCTTCAGCACCCAGGTCTGGCTCAGTGACCATTCAGCAGAGGCTGGTAAGCACCTGTGTCAGGTGGGGCTGGGAAGAGCTGGTACTGAGCTCACTCGGGTACCTGGTTGTTACAGGAAGTGGTTTCCTCCACATGGCATCCCATTTGCCTTTAGTTTGATTCCAGCACCACACACACTCTCTAGCCACACTTCTTCCACTGGACTGCTGGCCCTGCGCCAACATTTGCACTGTCACACAGATATTGAAGCCACTCCCTGTATTTTTTTTTTCTTTTTGATTTTTCAAGACAGAGTTTCTCTGTATAGCCCTGGCTGTCCTGGAACTCATTCTGTAGACCAGGCTGGCCTTGAACTCAGAAATCCACCTGCCTCTGCCTCCCAAGTGCTGGGATTAAAGGCGTGCGCCACCACTGTCTGGCCACTCCCTGTATTTATGTCTTTGTTCCTATGAACTAGAATTTCCTAGGAACTCTTTTTGGAGCTTTCAAGGCCCAGATAAAGTATCAGTTCGTCCTGAAGGTCTCCCATGTTTCTCACTACCTTTTTGTTATTCTCTAAAGAAACATAGTTCTGTTTTGAGACAGTGTTTCTTGTAGCACAGGACTGTGTGCCCAAGAACGACCCAGAAGTCATCCCCTGTCTATACGTTCCAAGTGCTGGGCTTAAAGGTTTGTGGTACCACATCTGGCTTTTTTTTGACAGTTTCACTATTTGGCTGAGGATGGCCTCAAACTCGTGGCGATCTTCCTACCTTATGCACTGAAGTGCTGGGATTGTACATGTGTGCTATCACGTGTAGAGTTAACAATTTCTATCTCCCAGAATCCCATTAGACCTGGAGGCCCTTGAAGTAGTGACCTGATTTTCTTGTCTTCGTGAGCCCACAGGAATCACAATCAAAATGGGGCCATAGATGGGATCTGATGCCCTCTTCTGGTGTGTCTGAAGACAGCAACAGTGTACTCACATACATACAATAAAAATAAATCTGTAAAAAAATGTAGACTATATGATTAAAGTGGCAGGGCAGTACTGTGCAGCACTCTGGAAGCAGACAGAGCTCATTGAGTTCAGGACCTTTGATAGCAAGTTCCAGGCCAGCCAGGGCTACCTAGTAAGACTGGTTTCAACAATAAAAGATATCAAGTGTCAGAGAGGAAGAATGAAGGGGTCCAGGTTACTCATCTGAGAGCAGTGGTTTGGGCCTTCCAGCTCTGTGGAGGCAGAGCAGGAAGGTGGGCAAACTGGATTAGTTTGAATCCTGGCTCAGGTTTGAATCCAGGAACAGAGACAAGTGGGATTATTTGTTGTTGCAGTACTAGGGATCAAAGCCAGGGCCCTGTACAGGGAAATGCAAGTAAATGTTCTGCCTCTGAGAGAGATTCTTAGACTTGGACAGTGCTTTTCCTTTCCTCAACTCTAAAACAGCACTACTGCCATGGCTCCTGCTCTTGTCCACTGGAGCTCCAGAGGTAGCTGGGAACACCCTGGACTCAATTACAGAATTATGTGTAAGTACTTTAGCTAAGAGGGCAGTTGAAGTAACAACTACCTAGAAGCTCAGGAGGTGCTTTCATTATTAGGTATCAGATGGTATGTAACAAATTACTTCAATAGTTAAGTAAAAACAATCCATTGTCTCCCAAATGACGTTAATTCATTATCTCTGATTAGCTCATTTGAGTGATTCTGCTTTGGGCCTCACATGAGTTTGCAGTTACCATTGCTGACCAAGGCTGAAGTCATCTGAAGCTTGTCCTGGGTAACTGTAGCTCTAAGGTTGTTGGAGCATTCTTGTGACATGGTGGCAGGCTTTTCTGAGTGTGAAATCCCACAGGACAAGGCTGTGATGCCTTTTGTCTAATTGTAGGAGCTGCAATGAGCATACCTTGAGTCTCAGAACTTGGAGGCTGAAGCAGGGGACTGCTGAAGCCAGCCTGGGGTACTGAGTGGGATTCTATCTTCAAAAAGCAAAATAAGCGGGCGGTGGTGGCGCACGCCTTTAATCCCAGCACTCGGGAGGCAGAGGCAGGCGGATTTCTGAGTTCGAGGCCAGCCTGGTCTACAGAGTGAGTTCCAGGACAGCCAGGGCTACACAGAGAAACCCTGTTTCGAAACCCCCCCCCCCAAAAAAAAAGCAAAATAATACCCACATATGGTGATACATACCCTTGGGAGGCAGAGGCAGGAGGTCAATCTCCGAGTTTGAGGTCAGCCTGGTCTTCAGAGTGAGTTCCAGGTCAGCCAGGCATACACAGAGAGACCCTGTCTCAAAACAACAACAGCAGTAGCCCCAAACAATATCACTTTAATGTTTTTAATTTTTTCCTCATCATTATAGAGGAAAGAGTCTAAATTTAGATCAAAAGCATCTATGGTAACTCTGAATGTCTTTTTCTAGCATTAAGAGAGATTAAAAATTAGAAATGAGTCTTTAATGAAGAAATTTCTACCAGAAAGCGTAAGTCAGTCAGAGAGCTGTTATGTTCCACAATCTTGATAAAAACTAGCTTAAGTCTCCCTTCGAGGCCACTCTATGGGGTCCACCAAAGTGGGAAGAAGCATATATTCTTTTTTTGTTTTGTTTTTCAAGACAGGGTAAGTAAGTAAGTCTCTACTTACCACTTGTGGAAATCTTTCTGGATAAAATCTTACCTTAGTTTTTTCCCCATGAGTGTGATCCAAAAACTGTTATGAGACCATTCAATAGGGATCATTCCTTAGAGTCTTTCTACAACAAAAGAATTACTGAGATTGGCTCATACATCAACAGTTTGACTGCCTATTATATGCTAAAGCCTATGGCTGGCATTTGGGAGATACAGGAAACAAATCTAGACACCAAATGTGTAGTGACCAACCAAAAGCCATGCCAAGAAATGCAGTGTGCAGAGAGAGGGGTGGGAGAGCTGCTCATTAGCTGGCCAGCTGCAATGCTGAAGCTGAACAACTGTGCTCTCAGTTCTTCTTCTGAGATGGGGTCTCTCTGTGTTATCCAGGCTGTTTCATGTGCTTCTCCTGCCTCAGCCTGCCAAGTATGCAAGCATGTGCTACCCTGTCCAGATCAACCATTGAATTTTGTCATATACTCTGCTGTCCAATGACAGTGCTTGGTTGATAAATTTTCATAACTTATTCAAGGCCATACAACAGGAGAATGGCTACAGAGTTTCAAACTCAAGCACACTGGAATCCAGAACCAATTTTTTCTTTCAATTCCTTAAAAAAATTATGTATTTTTATTATGTATTGGTATTCTGCCTGCTTGAGTGTCTGTACACCACATGTATCAAACAGGCAGTTGTGAGCTACCATGTGGGCTCTGGGAATTGAACTCATGGTCTCTGTAAGAGCACTTATCGCACTTAAGCCCCGAGCATCTCTCCAGCCCCAGCACTAGTATTACTAAATCACACTGAGGACCAGGGATGCTATGTCCTTTTGTGTGTCTCTGGTGTTTCTTGCTTGTATTTTTAATTTGTGTGCTTTGTTCATAAATTTGAACACAATGACTGATCCCCGAGCTGGGCAGGATTGGACAGCAGTTGTTTATCTTACTCAGCCCGTGGCACCCCTGTCAACTTTCAAGGTCACCTGTAATAAGAGTGCTGTGATAAAAACAACTTAAAAACACAATAAAACAAAGCATATATGTGCTTCTGACAAACTTGTGTTTCTACTGGGGAAAAAAAAAACCCACCACCACCAAAACCTCTTAAGGCTTAATAACCCAATCTAATTTTCAAATACTTTCTTTTCTTTGGTAGACTCTCATTGTATATCTTAGACTGGCTTCAAACTGACTACATAAGCCCAGGATGGCTTTGAACTCAAAATCTTCCTGCTTTCTCCTCCCAAGTGATGAAATTAGACATGAGCTGTCTCACCCATTTCTAACCCATACCTTATACAGACCTTTGGGTGTACTACTTTCTCTCAATGCTTAATGATGATACTGCCATAAATTTGATTCTCCGAGGGTAGAGATCTTGAAATATTCATGTGATCTTTCCACAGCCTGAACCACTTTTGAGAACTAGGCAGTGCTTGCTGATACAAACTAAAGGGGCTTGACACAGTGGATTAGGCTGTATTGGCTGTAACAGTTACCAGAGCAGAGGAGCTCAAAGCACACTGAGACATGCCTCAAGCTTCTCCGGGCCACAAGTCCAAACACTGAGTGCGTCTCAGTGGTTCCCTGCATCAGTCGTATGTATTTTCTTTTCTAGAAACTTGTTTCTGAGTTTATCTGCACTGTCAGAGGTCAGTACCACTGGGTTGAATGACTAAGATCCCTGATTCCTTACTGCTGTTGGCAGGCTTAGTCTTGACGCTGCTTACATTCCTTTGCTTTTTGCCACTTCAAAGCCAGCAACAGTGAATTGAACTGCTTCATATTTCCAAAACAACTATATTTTTAGGGGTCCGTGTAATCTCAGCGACCCACTCACAAGTCTAGGACAATTTTCCTAAGGTCTAAATTTGATCGGCAAAGCTCCTTTTCCCAATGAATGTAATGGAGTTTTGGGTGGGGTAGTGTTCATGGATGAAAGGTTGAATACTTTTAAGTAGGAACTGCTTTCCACAGTGCCCATAACATAAACACCAACATTTTAGTCGGATCTGGTGGCACAGGCTTGTAATCCCAGTTATTCTGGAGGTTGGGGTGGAGTGACTGCCTAGTCAAGCCAGCCTGCAACACTTAATAAGAACCTGTCTCACAACATAAAAAGGGCTTGGGCAGTAGTATAGAGGTAATATATCTCCGATGCATGCAGTTCTGAGCTCAATTCTCAACACAACAAAACACAAAGTCTGCATTTTACAGTCAGTCTTCCCTATTTACTCCTTCCAAGTGCGTGGCTGTGTTGGAGATACAGATCGATTCAAAACAGCTGAACTAAGTTTCACTGTCCTTGCAGAGGTGATTGTTTCAGCTGCAGATGGAAAAAATAATTATAAACAAAACTACCAAAGCCAAAGGTAGTGGGGCATGCATTTTAATCCCTCATGTATTAATGGGAGGCTAAGGAACAAGAATAGAAGGCTGTCTGAAAATGCCAGCCTGTCAATATTGTGAGATTTTTGTTTCAAAATAAACAAAATAGTGTTAGGATATAGCTCAGGGATTGTGGGAGGCCCTCAGTTCAACTCCCACTCCTCCAACCCCCACCAAAATCCCAATATACATCTTTAATCCCAGCACTTGGAAGGCACTAGCAGGTGGATCTAAGTTCAGGGCTAATCTGGTCTACACAGTGAGTTCCAGACCAGCCAGGTGTACATAGTAAGGTCCTGTCTCAAAAAACAAAACTTAAAACGTTAAAAAACAAAATAATTTTAGAAGTATTTCTCTTCTCTCTGCTGGGATGAAATTAGGAGAGTGGTGGTGTGAAACTGTCTAACTTTCATCTTCTATAGTCTATTCATTGTAGATTTTTGTTTACTCAATTTGAGTCTTGGGTGACCAGTAATAAGGACTGCTGAGTCCTTTAGGTAAAAGGGTTGGACTGCTAGGTGATTCCTTCTTCTCAGCACTGGCTGCCTGTATGCTAACACCAGAAGAGTATAGGGTGTGTCCTCACCCACATAAACTTTTCAAAAACTGTAAAGCTTGGCCATTAATCCTGTTCAAGACTGTAGAAATGTTTCTGGACTTTGAGCCAACAAATACAGAAAAATTCTTTATGTTCTGGGTGCTCCAAACCTCATCCTATCACTGTAATCAAGGCTCAGAGGTTCCATTGCTCACTGCGAGCTTATAATAAGAGCTATCACTTATTCTATAACAGAAGCCAAATTACATGAGTCTAATAATATCAGGGTCTTCCACATTCTCTCCAATCTTCCAGATACTTCATGCTAATTTGTGGGATTATCAATGTTGTGGGATACTATGCTAACATAGACCAAACAGGCTCAGCGGGGTTGAGAGGAGTCAGGAACTCACAACTAGGATTCTAAATCTAGGTTGGTTGACATTAGGACTTGACCTTTCTCCAGGGAACTGCTTCTAAATATTCACTCAGGTGCATTTTGATTTACATGGACCGACCTTAAGTGTTTACCGACTATCGGATCACCAAATTCGCCTGGCAGCAATTCTGCTGTAAACTGCAGGTGCATTCTCTGCAAATTCATAGAGGTATTAAAAGTACATGAGGAAATGTGTTAATCATCGAGGTCGGTCAATCGTGCAAGAACCGTTTTACTGATCTGACTGTCTCTTTGCTTATTACTATGCGCCGGTTGACTCATTTAAGGGTGGGCCAAAAAAAGGATCCTGTTTTTTGTCACCCACCAGAAGTGCAGATGAGAAATGTGTATACGGTGGGGGGTGGAGTGGAAGCAAGGTAGCAGACTACCAACTTCGGATACGAACCCGCATTGGACCGGTCCCTACAATCAAAAAAGCTCGGAACGGGTTAACCGCGGCCAGGGGGAGTCCAGCCACCGCCCCTTACCAGCAACACCTCCCAGAAACCCTCAGGCCTCCGCTATTTCCCGAACCTCGCGAGACCCCGCCCCATCCTTTCCTGACCGACTTCCCGCCCCCTTCTTTACCGAGCTAGGAGCGCAGCGGGGTACGGAAGAGAGTGGGCGGAAAACAGGCACCCGGTGGACTCCGGGAAATGTGGTCCAAGCACTTCAGGCAGCCATTTTCTTCCGGAGAGGGGTAGGCCAGGGAGCCAATAAGGACTACAAATCCCAGCCACCCTTTCGGTTTGTTTTTGTTCAAAAAAAAAAAAACCCCACACTCCCCCTCCTCACTCTTCTCTCTCTCTCTCTCACACACACACACACGCGGGCACACACATACACACACATACCCACGGCAGACACGCACGCATCCGAGCGTCGAAAGGAAAGCCGCGTCTCGCCATCCCGGCCCGCCACTAGTCCGCTTTCGGTTTCTCAGCAGCGCGGGAAAGCGGAGGCCCGAGCCGTGACCTCTGACCCCATGGTTTTGCGGAGCCGCCGCATTCCTTAGCCATCGCGGGGCTGCCGCTGCTACCGTGGGCGACTGACGCAGCGCGGGCGCGTGGAGCCGCCGCCCCTCCCCCAGCGCCACCCTCGCGCCGGGTCTCGCGCCAGCCAGTCCCGGTGCACCCGCCCTCTTCGGCCGCACCCGAGTCCTCGCACGCGCCGCCGCCACGCGCCCCCCGCCGCTGCCGCCTCCACCCCAGCCCCGCGCCGCCACCGCCCCAGCCCGCCCCGCCCGAAGGACCCGCGTGGAGCCGCCACCGCCGCCGCGGAGGAGGATGAAGGACAAACAGAAGAGGAAGAAGGAGCGCACGTGGGCCGAGGCCGCGCGCCTGGTGAGGCGAGCTGCCCGCGGGGGCCGCGGCGGGGGGTCTAGGGGTGGGCTCCCGCGCGGCTCCCGGGGCGGGGGAGGGGCGAGGCCCTGCCCACCGCAGCAGGGGGCGGGGCCGCCCGGGTGTGAGCTCCTGAGGTCCCTGGCCTGAGCGGGCTGGGGCGCCTCTTTCTGCACACCCCCTTGAATTCCTGCGGAGGGGCGCGCTGGCAAGCGGCTCCTCCCCTCCGAGCGCCCGGGCGCCAGTCTCCCCCTCCCCCATGTTGGCAGCAGCAGGGGGTCCTGGGGAGCGCCCTTTATTCTTCTGCGGGAGTTAGGTTTCCGGGAAAGGTGGGAAGTGCTTCCCTTACTTCTTCGTGGGCAGTGGAGTGGGTCACTGGACACCGCGGGGGTGGGAAAGTGCTCCTGGTTTCAAGGACATGAGAAGCATTTAGAGCCTTGGCAATTTAAGCCAGGTGTGTGTCGGAAAACACTTGCTAAGGACCAAGCTGAACCCTGAGTAGTGGTTCTCAAACTGGAGTGCCCAGTGGGAGTATACCTGGGGACTTTGAAACACTGGTTCTAGGGCTCATTTTAAACACTCTGGAGATTCTGCTGGGAAACAGTACTTTTGCCAGCTGCTTAAGCGATTGTTATACAGGTGACCCTCGAACATTCAAATCACACTGAACCCTCCGACTGCAGTAGGGGTAGGCACTTTGCCGAGGAACCGAATACTTTGTAAAGAATGTATATCAGTTTGACGCTTCTCTTCTGAGGGTTTAGTTTAAAAAAAAAAAAGTAACTAGGTTCTTGAGCTAGCTATCAGCCTAGAGGATTTGTGGATTTTCTGTTTCCTAAACTTCAGTGGACTTGTGAGATAGCTTCCGTTTGGACTCAAAATACAAAGCCAAAAGACCTGAGACGTGTTCGTTCTTATGAAATGTTGCTGATGACAGTTCAATAGGTTATACTTCCCTCGGAGATGTCACTTCCTCAGACTGCCACAGTGCAGAGTTATGGGTGCATCCTATTTTCTGTTGACGCCCTGTATTTTATATGTAATTGTTATAATTTAGTTTTAATGATGGAGTGAAGCTCAGCTTTCTAACTGGTCCTTTTACTGGAAAGTGAGTTCTGTCTGCCTCAAAAGTGTTGAAGGTTGATAAAGATCTAGAGTGAACCCTTTTCTTGGAGTTCGTGAAAGCCGGTTATTCATTTACTCGTGGCTTTTTGAGCTACCAGAGAATTTCCACTGGTATTCCTGATCATCTCTCTTCTCTTGTTACCCTGGGAACAGAAACAGGCATTGTTTGTGTGAAAGATGTAGTTCGGTTTAGTTTTTGCTTAGCATATGAAAATTGAAAGTCTTAGGTGGTGTATTTTTCTTTCTGTGATTCAATCAAAACTAGATCCTTTGGCTAGTTTTTATGCTCTTGGAACTTCAGGATTTCTTCAACGATGCTTTACTTAACAAATTTAGGTCTGAAGGAGCTTAGGAGAAAGCTGAAATGTAGGGTGTTTTATTTTACCATGGAGGTCGTTGAATCTTGTCTGTTCATTGAGGTTCTGAGTTTTTGTGTGCAGGTGTTTATGGCTCTGGGCACCCAAAGAAAATTTGCTTGCCAGAACCCTACTTGTAAGAGGTAGGTAAAAGTACCTTCAAATCCTGTGTTGTTTATGTCCTGACAGTTCTGAAATCTTCTCATCTCAAAGCTCTTTGGGCTCTTACTAGTTGAAGAGCTCTAGCAGTTTGGAATCCACTGTTATTTTAAGCCCCTTTAAGTTCTTAAATTTACCGTGGCTTGAATTCCAAGGTATGGTTGCTATTTCTATTTTATCATTGGCTCACCTTCAAGCTCAATTATCTTGTTATTTTTTTCTACTGTGGCTTCAGTTAAAAATAGTAATCTGAACAGGAATTTCTTTGTGGTGTAGTTGTACATTTGAAAGAGGACTTGTGGGAACATGGTATGCAATTTTGCATATCTTTTATGTGGTTTGTGTTTTAGAATTTTCTGTGCTTTTGTGGGGGTTTGTTGGAGGGGGAGGGGGAGACTTCTTCCCATTAAAAAAAGCCCCGCCCACTGAGTGCTGGGGAGTTTCTTTGCTTTTACTTCTTAAAGGAGCACCTGGCAAGCAGTGAGCTGCAGTGGCAGTGCAGTTAGTTTTTTCACAGGATTACTATTCATAATTGCTTTTGGACAGTTGAAATTAGATTGCATGTAGTGGTGACCCCATGTGCTTGTTAGGTGGGAGTTTCTAATTGTTCCTGGCCTTGCACAAATTGTCGATAATAACCTTATATATGCCATTGTGGTGTAGGAAAGCTTACAGGATTCTGGAGAATTCCAGCAGAGTAGCAGACTCCTGCAGATGAGCTTTTGCAGTTGTTAGTCTTAAGAAGTGGACATTCTTCTCTCAGATGCCTTACAGTTTGTGCAGAGTTTCTAGCCATCTCAAGTAGAGGTGTGAAGTAAATGTGCCAGCTGTTAGGAGCAATTGGGAGAAACAGCCAAGGAGATTTTTCTTTTAAATTGTGTACTACTCTTAAATAGTTTCCTCTGGCTTTTGAGAAATGCTACATTTCATGCTTTATTTTTGCTCTGATTAATGGCTGACCGTTCTTATTTCAAATTTTTTTTTTTCAAGTAGAGAAATCGTTTTTTCTTTCTTTCAAAAACTGTGTGGTCTACAAAGACTGGCAATAGAGCACTGTTGAATTTTTCTGAAAACTAGTGGTTTATATACAATTAATGTAGATGAGTACTTTATATCTTTAGATGTAACTTCTCTTTAGAATTTCTTTTTCTTCTGTTTTAAGAGTCTCAAGCTTTATGGTTACTATTTAAATAATTGGTAGGTATTTTTTCAGTCATGCTTCTTTTTTGTCCCCTTGTAGGAGATTTGCTAGCTCAGCTGGTATCAAAGAGATGGTATCTTGTAACAGTGAACATTAGTAACCTGTGCTAAGGCTCATCATAGGTTTGTTATGTCAGCCTCGCCTGTCTTGGCACTTGGGTAATCCTAGACAGTGAAGAGGAGGAGCTACTAGTCTTCAGAAGGGAGGGGTGTGTGTGTGTGTGTGTGTGTTTCAGATGATTCAGATGGGTGAACGGAACTACAGGCTTACATGTTACTGGAGAAACACAGAGTTAAGCATATCTTGGTTTCTGTCTCGTTTAGGAATTAATATGATTAGTTCCTCACTTCCCTTTGAAGTACCCCAGCTTGAGAGTTAATTGACTTTTACTGTGGAACAGTGGGGTCACTGAAAAAGAAAATTTGATTCTGCTGTCATAGATTAAGGAGTGCTTCCAGAGGGAAGGTAGTTTCTGAGCTGAGCCTTGAACAGTTAGTGGAATCCAGGTAGGTCTGTCATAAGGGAGGCTATACTACACGCAGAAGCTGATGAAAAAAGAATGGCTCGGGAGGAGAGAAAAACTACATGGATGTGAATATATTTGCAAAGTGTGCAAATAGGGTGGAAAAAAGGAGTTGCAGGGACAAAAGTATGTGGTGTCAGTGAGGCAGTCTTGTCAGGAAACAGAGAGGTGATTGAGAGGCTTTGTGTGCCCACCTTCGGGCACCTACAGGTGCTTACTCATGTTCTTTTCAATGTGAAAAATGACCCTGAGAGTAAGGTGTCAATACTTGAAGAGTGAGAGATCCCCTTTGGCTCAGGTTGGATAGGTACATAGATCCTTGCTTCAGTTTGGAAGACTAGAATTTAAATCTTATCCTGTCTGATTCTAAAGCCTGCACTTTAGTGGCTGGTGGATTCTGGAAACTTACCTTCTGCTGTTTATGGAGAGACAGGAAAAGTTGCTGAGGATGATTTTGAAATAGGAACATGATGAAGTTAGACGCTGGATCCCTAGAATAGGGCCTGAGGCAGGTTCTGTGTGGTCTTAAATGAGGGATAACCACAAACAGGAATGGGTTTGAGAACAGGACTGGACTCAAGGATATACTTGAAAAGGCTGTTGTGTAAAAGAACGGCTGTGGTAGTGAAATAGGTAAATGAGAGTGAAGGATGCCACATGTGTGTTACTAAATTAGGTGCCAGTTAAGGTAAGGAATATAGGGAGAAAGGGTAGGGATGGAGGAGAGGTAAACTAGAGTTGCTCAGATGAGTTGGAGTTGAACAAGTTAAGAATGGACAGGTACACTGGTGAGTCAGAACGGCTTCACTCTGAAGCCTGGGAGAAGTCAGGGATAGAGGTAGATAGGGTCAGAGTCTCAGGATTAGCACCAGTATTAGTGACTGACAAGAGCAGTATAAAAATTAACAGAGAAGCTAAGGAGGAAAAATGGGAAGTTTGTTTTCGTATTCCCTTCTCCAAACTTCCTTTAGTGATAAGGTCTTTTGTAGCCTTCCTTTGGAACTTCCTGCCTGCCCACCCCCAACCCCCTTTAATAAATGACAGAACTTGGATGTTAACACTTGTTAGCTTGCAGTGCCCGCAGCAGCTGCACAGGTGTCGAAAGTGAGATAATGAAATGACAAAGTTCTTTTCCTGTTAGGAGAGGAACATTTCTGTAACAGCTCAACTTAGTGAAAATTGCTGAGGAAGTACATTAGTTAAAGACTTAGTTACTGATGAACTAACATAGGCAGGACATTAGGTTCCTCATTGTTATGTGAGTCACAGAGAAAACTTAAAGCATCATGTTGTCAAGTGA